AAAAAAAAAAAAAAAAAAATTTCGTGACCCGTGTTAAAAATGACGTGGATGAAATAATTTAAATAAATAAAAAATATTTATAAAATGTGTATTTTTTTTCTCAATATAAAATGTGTATAGAAATAATAAAAAGTAAGATGAAAAAAATATTTTTTTTTATTTTTGTTTTTTCTTTTTTCTTCGTAACTCCATCTTTAAATTTTTCAACGTTTCTAATAATATCTCAAACGTAGTTGTATTTTCATCTATATTTGAATTTGGAATCTTATTTGAACCATAACTTTGCTTTGAACATCTATAATTTTTCATAAACAATTAATCATAGCTAATATAAATAATGAATTTGGTAAGTAAAAAAATATAATAAGATTTTAATACCCACTGTATCTTCATTTGAAGCACTACTCTGATGCATATTTTTTACTGCTTTTATGCATGCATGGTCTTGGCTGTTTTTTCGGTTGTTCGAATTCGTGTTTGCATAAATCTCTTGCTACGAATCTCCCAATGCTCAAGTCGTTCTTCATTTAAAGTTTCTTCTATACGGGGCCAAGATCGATCAGGTGATTGGTATACACCAATAAATGGGTTATGAGAAATATCCATATAAACCGGACATAAAAGAGTATCTTCATTGTGGTTATAGGAAGATGAACGGATCGACATTCTTACAAAAAGTTTGATGTGATAAAAATATAGTGTATAGAATAAAAATGTTGTGAATATCATATCTTCTTTTATAGTGAGAGACCTTCACCCCACTCCATGGTTTAACCTGAAATGACCTCTATGCAAATGTTTTCACATTTCTCAAAGTTCTGACTCGAAAATGATCACTCTCTGCAAAGGTGATCACACTTCTCCTTGTTCTGACCTGAAAATGACCTATCACTGCAAAGTTCTCCACCCAAAAATTATCATTCCCTGCGAAGGTCCTTACAGTTCTCAATGTTCTGAACCGAAAATGACCACTCTCAACAAAGGTGATCACACTTCTCCATGTTCTGACCTGAAAATGACATATCACTGTAAAGGTCCCCACGTCTCTTAATGGTTTGACCCGAAAATAAACTCTCTCTGCAAAGGTGATCACGTTTCTCCCATTTTTTTTTCGAAAATGACTTATCACTGCAATGTTCCCCATATCTTTAATGCTTTGACCAAAAAATGATCACTCACTGCAAAGGTCCTCACATTTCTCAATGTTCTGACCTGAAAATGACCACTATCTGCAAAGGTGATCATGTTTCTCCATGTGTTGACCTAAAAATGACATATCACTGCATATGTCCCCCAAGTAGTGTAACCCGAAAATGAACACTCTCTGCAAAGATTCTCACGCTTCTCCATGTTTTGATCTGAAATGACCTCCCACTATAAAGACTGTCATGCCTATCAATGCTTTGACTTGAAAATGACCACTTCCTGCAAAGGTTACCACACCTTTCAAATTCACTACTATAAGAACATAACATTTACTAAATCATCCCCACACTTGAATCTCTTCAAACATCTTATCATATTTCTCTATCTCACATTTCTATAAGGAATTTTAATTTTGGCAATTCGTCATCTTCTTCATCAGATGATGATGATGATCATATGTTAATTGTGAATGCTATTCGTTAAAAACAACCAGTGATAG